AAAATATTCTGAAATAGGTTAAATCTTATATAAATATTACTTTGTGCAATATTGTTGTGTAGTTAAATGCATATTAGCAAAGTATAGAGGTCACTGTGTAAACAGATAGAAAAGTAACCATCAGCAAATACTGCAGTGATTAGTTAGAATCTGTATTATTCCTTATATATATGTATATGTATGTATTCTCTGTTACAAAGGATGAAGACAAATAGGGATACATTTCAATGTAAACCATTTATGAATTGGAAGTGATGTTGGCTTTAGTTATCTTTGTAAATAAGGTAATTAGAATGGTATGAAAGGTAATGTGATTATTGCAGGGGTGTTTTTAAATCTTGGGTATAAATTCTAGGGTAAATTCCAGTTTATCAATACTAGTTTTTAACAGGACCTGCCTTTGAGGGTGTTTTTTTGTCGTTTTGTTGGGGAGGGGTTTAATCACAAAGTGTGTGGGTTTGGGTTACTTCTTGTTTTTATTTTTCTGTCCAGAAGAGCTTTACCAGGCTGTGCAAAGTAAAATTCTTCTCAGGCAACATTTGCTTTTTAAAATAATCATGAAGAGAAGGCTGTTAAAGCAAAAAAAAAATTTTTTTTTAAATTTTTTCTTGTCTTCCAAGATCTGATTTCCCCATCTCCCACTTGCCATCCAGCAGATGCCATCTGTCATCCAAGCTGGTCATTGCTAATAAACAAGGAGACTGTCTCCTGACAGCCAGCACTGTGTATTATCACTCAGGAACCAGCGGATCTGCAAAGACCTACAATCAAAAGCAAATCCCCATTTTCCTTTTATAAAACATTCTACCCTCACCTCCAATATAAACACATTAAGAGTACAATAAAAATGTTTAAAATCATGTACTAATAAATTCATTGTATGTTAGAATTGCAATAGAATGGAGAGAAACATTTAGCTAGTAATGTATCTGAAAACTGAATGTCCTATGTGAGTATTAGATTTTAATAGCATGCTTTAAAGACTGATGAATATAAAAGCAGAAGTTTTGCGTTTTTTACTGCTTTCAAAGCTGTATCCTAGTTTAGTGATACAAATGATTGCAATTTTTCTAAATCATTAAATTATTTGGTTTGGTGGAGTGAGGCATGGAGCAATCTGGCGTCTTCTGATTTGTTAAAGTAGTGATGGGAGTGAAGTTGTAACTGAAATTTAAGCTGATCTTCCTTTTTGATATATTATCCGTTGTGCCAGCTCTTGAGATTACTTGCACAATGTGGCTATAAGTTTTAATATTTTGTGGAGCAGAGGGATGGTTTTTAAATGTGCTTATGGAAAGGACCCAATAAATGAATATTCCTAACTTAGTAAAGTAGAATAATTTCATGGTACCCATTAAAAAGGATAAAAGTCTTCCTCTTGCCCCAGAAGTAATTCTTGATACCAAGATATGCTAGGAGTAGGATGATTCAAAGCGGTAACCCAAGTTCATAAAGCAATAATAATGAAAACCTACATAGTATGTTCCCTCCTCCAAAGTTTTAACTCTAAAAATTGATTCCTAGGTTTAATTGTACTTTTAATTTGCTTATTCAGTACTTAGAATTTGTTTAACTGGTACTTTTATTATTTTTTAGTGAAAGACTTTTGAAAAGTGCCCTTTCCCCTTAAGAGACAGTTGGAATACCAGTTGACTGATATTATAAGCTCTTATGGGGGGAAAAAGGAGCTTATTAAAGTTCTTTACTAAACTTTGGGAAAAGATGTCTTGCATCAGTCTTACTAGGCATAAAAGTCACACTTAATGACTGGAAAAAACTTGCTTATTGCCTTTCCTTATATAAATATTGTCTAGAATGAAAGCTAATATAGGAACAAGACTCCCAAATCCATGAAAACCCTTAGTCAATATATTCTTAATCATTAATATTAGCCCATTATATTTTCATTTGTATTTGCCATAAAAAATTTATTTGCATTTATGCCTTTAGGATAATTTTGTATCTTTCTAATCTTTTATCATTGCTACACGTTTTTAAAAAGAACCTTTCACTAGCACATGCCAGAGGTTCACATCTGTGCTGTTTTGTTTTTCAAACAGGTTGTAGCTGTATTTATTGGCCATGCAAGTAGAGGAAATGCACAGTACAAATGTTTTTCTTTAGCACGTAAGGGACCTATCCTTGTCTTGAAAGTTTGTTACTTTAAAAGCAAGTATCTCTCCATAAATATTATGGCCTTCCATTTTCTTCATACATTTTTTAGGATCCACTTGTGCATGTAGTTGAGACCACTGTCTCTTAAAATATAGCACTTTTCAATTCTCTCTGAAGAAATACTTATGTACTACTATCACATGTTGTAAATTTTCATGTAATAGTGTTTTCTGTGACTAAACTCCATTTTGATTGGCAGCTAAGACTTTTTTTCCTGTGGCTTTTATTTATCTAAGAGGTCTTTGCATATAGATGAAATGTATATTTGCCTGGCGGACTATTTGCGTTGTGTGGCCTTAGTTTGTTTATTGACATTAACAAGTGTTTTAAAAAGGTTTTTAATGAATAGTCTTAAATCTAAATTTGTGTGAATAATCCTTTTAACACAGTGCTTTTTTGTAGCTGTCTAAGTGTGTTAAATTGTTAAGCTATTTCTTTGTAAAATAGGACAATGGAATGCATAGTTTTTTTTTTTTTTTCCTGTAAAGTATTTTTTTAATAAACAAAGTCTGATTTGTCCTTTACTGGTGTTTCATCACAAAATGCATAGCATATGCGAGTTCTAAATACCTGGAACCTATTTTTAGAGGACGAATCCTTCACCTACTTTATCCCCTACTACTACAAAAAATTTTTTTAGAAAATCTTACGACTTTTCTTTCTAAAGATGTCTGGGGAAAATTCCATCCATATTGAGATGCAATTAGTTTAGGGGAAGAAGAAAAAATCACTTGGCATTTGTTGTAGTTAATGCCTCTTAATTGCTTAAATTAGTGTGTATCTACTTAAAAGGACAGTTTTAAATTTGTATTCTGGTGATGTGGATTTTCTTGAAGTTCATTGAGTATTAATGAAGATGGCGTATAGACTTTTATGTCATTGATGTATTAATGCAACACCACAAAATGGATTTCTTTCCTCATCAGTTTTTGTGTGAACTTACCTTTAATTGAGGTACCTTTCCTAAGCACTGATAGCCTTTGATTCTGATTAGGAAAGGAAAAGAAAGGGACTTCACAGTTTTTGAGTAACTGCCATGGGCCAGGAAGTTTGTATGAGGGTATCTCATTTAATCCTCACATCCTTAAGAAGGCAACTATCTCCATAGTACAGGTGAGAAAACAGGCTTGTTAGTTGAATAAATTGCCTAAGATCACAGATTATTGGTTGGGAGCAAGGATTCATACCTTGTTCTCTGGTAGCCTTAGGAAGCACTGAATAGTTTCCAACAGGGCACCTGAAAAATGGTTTGCTACTTAACCACTATCCTCTAATACTACTTACCTGATTTAGTTCCTCCACACACTGCCCGGAAAATCTTTTGTGTGCCAAACAATGAAGTAAAGTACTTTTGCTATTAATGTAATTGAGGTTAAATATTTACGTGTGCAAAATTCGACGTTTTTCACTTGTCATTTATCTTTCTTTTTTTTCAAGTTGGTCATTTGTCTTGAAGCCCAACAGAATTGTAATGTTCAGCACTAAGGAAAGGAAAAGCTGTCAAGGATTAAAAGGAAACCACTGCCAATGTGTGCAATGTAAAAAGGATAAAATAATTTTTACTTTATTTGAGACAGGGTCTCTTGCCTAGGCTGAAGTGCAGTGGCGCAATCATAGCTCACTACAGCCTCGAACTCTTGTGCTCAGACGAATCCTCCCGCCTCAGTCTTCGAAGCAGGTGGGACTACAGGTGCGTGCCACCATCTCCGGCTAATTTTTTATTTTTATTTTTATTTTTTTTTTTAAGAGATGGAGTCTGGCCATGTTGCTAAGGCTGGTCTCAAATTCCTGAGCTCAAGCGACATTTCCGCCTTGGCCTCCCAAAGCGCCCGGATTGCAGGCGTGAGCCACTGCGCCCAGTCTGGGGGAAATAATTTGTAAAACTTAGTCCTGTGGGAGTTATTTTAGCTTAGTCGATTTTCCTCATCCGTGAAATGGGATAACTTCCACCTGGTACCCACTCAATAGATGATAAGAAATAATGTCTGTAAAACCGCGCCTTTTAGGCTTTCTTAAGTGGAAGCTATCATCTGTCATTAGCTTTCTCTGACCCAGATGCTACACGCTGTGGGCCAGCAAGAACACAGCTTCAAATAAGGTGGGGAGAATGACTAAGGGGACAGTGTTCCATTAATGGCCAAAAAAAAAAAAAAGGAAAGCAGCTTAAAAATCCTTTTAATGTATCCTTAAATATTCACTTTAGGGCTCAACTTTTCTTTCCTTTCTCCTGACCTCTATCGGCCCTAATTAACGTGTTCCCGCCGTCACCTAACTTTACCCTATTTTGGAAAAAGCTGTGACTGCCCAATACTTGTCCCTCTTTTTCCCCTACCTTTGAGCCCCAGAAAGCTCCAGACCCAGAGGTGCTGAGGGGCGGGAGAGGAAGGGAGTCACTAAGCCGCAGCCTGGCCCTTCCTCCCAGGGCAGCGTAAATTCACATAAACATTCATTCATTCACTCAACAAACGCTGGGAACCTAAGTTTCATGTTCGTGCCAGGCCCCAGTCTCTGACCTCATGGAGCCCACAGCCCACTGGGGAACAGAGATTAAGCCATGAAACACGAAGATGAGTGCCACAAAGACATAAGCCGGGAGCTACTAGAGTATCAGGACCGACCTCCTTTAGACCGCTGGATGGGAGAGTCGTTTGTGAGGAAGTGACTTTTAAGCGGAGGGCTGAAGGGTGATCTGAGGGAGCTGCTCTTGGCCACCGATCGCCGCGCGGCTCCCCAGGCCCTTGGACCCGGAGCCTGGACCTAGGCGGGGCGGGAAGGCCCGGGCCAGGGGCGGAGCCACCTCGGCGGCGAAAGCCGGAAAGCGGAAGCCGAAGGCTGCTACCCGGTGGTCGGCTGAGCGGCTCTAGCCCAGCTCTCAGACGGCTGAGTCACTGCCGCCCGGCCCGGCCCGGAAAAGACGAGCGCCGCCGCCGCCGCCGCGCCGCCTCTCGGGCTCCCGGGCTCTCGGGGTCCCGGGCCTTTGCACCTGTCTTTTCCAGCTGGGCACAAAGCCTTTTGCTGTCGCCGTGGCGACTGGCGGCCTAGCGAAGACCTCCTTTACTTTTAATCCCCCTCATTTTCCAGTCCATTTTCTGCTTATTTTCTGGTCAGTCCGTGACCCTCTAGGTGGGCTTGGACCCGCGATCGATTTGCCGCCCTCAGGGCGCTGGGCAGCCCGGCTGCCTCCGAGGTTGGGGCAGCCTCCGCGGTCTCCATGGTAACGGCCTCGCCGGCGTTTCCGCCTAGGTGGGAAGATGCGGCCTGCCCTGCCCGCCGCCTCGCCCCCGGCCTTACGGTGGGACCCCGGGCACTGAGGACGAAGGTCCCGGGCGCCGGCCCGCGGGGCAACGGGCACTAGGTGAGAGCCGGACGCCGGGGAGCGAAGGAGGCGGGTCTCGGGCGACTCCAGCGGCCGCCCCTGCCCCTGCCCCGCACCCAGGAACACGCTCGCCCGAAATATTGCAGAGGCTTCTCCGGTCGCCGCTGCGCCAGTTTTTGTTTGTTTGTTTGTTTGTTGTGTTTTCCCTGGCAAACAGCTGGAGAAAGAGCAGCTCATGGAGAGGCTGAGAGAAGCGGTTTTTGAGTCCTACCCAAATTGGGAGAGTAACCTTCAGCAGCTGGACTCACCGACTGGTTTTCCTTCATTTTCAGTGAAATCCCATTCTCTGGCTGGAGACACAGATGGCCTCAAATGAGAGAGATGCTATATCGTGGTACCAAAAGAAGGTAATACCTATATATATATATTTTATTTGTAACGCATTCTTCCTGCAAAAAGCTCTCACAAATAGCATGTTACTTTCCCCTGAGTTTGGTAGTGCCAGGTGTTCATGTATACTTCAACATAAATGGAAAAAAAAAAAAAAAAGATGTACAAGGTCATTATGTTTTTTAAACCCGGTTCCAGGTCCTGGAATAAGGTTTACAGGCCACCTCCCTTCTCCAGGCTGCGTACACAATGCCACCGCAATGCTTTGAAAGTTTGCTTCTGATCAAACTGCTTAAAAACAAAAAAGACATGAAACCTTAATCTGCACAGCTCAGATTGATACTATTAACAGTCTTATTGAGCTGTTCCTTATCTTTTATTCCTCTCTAGTTTTTCTATTGCTGTTTTCCTTAATAAGTGGATTTGATTTTTTTTTTTTTTTTGAGACAGAGTTTCGCTCTCGTTGCCCAGGCTGGAGGGCAATGGCGCGATCTCGGCTCACTGCAACATCCGCCTCCCGGGCTCAAGCTGTTCTCCTGCCTCAGCCTCCGGAGTAGCTGGGATCACAGGCGCCCACCACCACGCCTGGCTAATTTTTTGTATTTTTAGTAGAGACGGGGTTTCACCATGTTGTTCAGGCTGGTCTCGAACTGCTGACCTCAGGTGATCCACCCACCTCCACCTCCCAAAGTGCTAGAATTACAGGTGTTAACCACCATGCCCGCCCAAGAAGTGGAAATATCTTTTAAGGTAATAATTAATTTGAAATGTTTTGGGCATTGCTTTTGAATTTACTTTTAGGTCCAGCTATTTTAGATATTTGAAAGAAACAGTCCTTGGAAGTATTAATTTATTCTAACTCCTGAGTAGCACAAACATTTTCCACATAGCATATTGATACTTAATAGGCTCATGACTTTTGTGAGGCTTGACTTAGGTAAGGATTTCCTTTGCATCGTTTAAATACACTACTCCCTCTTTCAGATTGGAGCCTACGATCAGCAGATATGGGAAAAGTCAATCGAACAGACTCAGATTAAGGTAAATTGGTTTCTTTGATTCTGCCTATGTTTCACTGCATTAATATGAAGAGTGGAATTGTACTTACCTGGTAAACTCTCACTTAACTACCAGTATGGCATTCTTTAATCTTTGAAGGTTATAAGAAAAACAGTGCAAGCATAATGAGAAGTGACACTTGATTTTTGGCCTCACTATCAGGAAAACAGAAAGGAGTGAGTTGGTCTGTGATGAATTAGAGAGCAAATGTCCCATGTAAATAGGGCTGGGTTACTTAGCTCTGGCCAGTTTTTACTACATGGCAGTGCAGGTCCAAATATTGCCAGAGTTTCAGATTTTTCAAGAGAAGCTGGAAATACACATTTTTATATGAAATATATTGTGCATTTTATGTCAGATTTTTAAGAGACTCTTCCTTTTCTTCCTCCTCCTCTGCAAGCCAAATAAAATCCATTTGTGGCCTGAATCCAGCATATGGTCCCCCATTTTATTCAATCACTAGCTTAGAGTATGGGTTTTTGTTTGTTTGTTTTGTTATGTTTTTGAGACGGAATCTCACTCTGTCGCCCAGGCTGGAGTGCAGTGGCATAATCTTGGCTCACTGCAAGCTCCGCCTCCCGGGTTCATGCCATTCTCCTGCCTCAACCTCCCGAGTCGCTGGGACTACAGGCGCCCACCACCACGCCTGGCTAATTTTTTTTTTTTTTTGTATTTTTAGTAGAGATGGGGTTTCACCGTGTTAGCCAAGATGGTCTCGATCTCCTGATCTTGTGATCTGCCCGCCTCCGCTTCGCAAAATGCTGGGATTACAGGCATGAGCCACCGCACCTGGCCTAGACTATGGTTTTAAGTTTTTCAGATTCTTAAACTTTTTTCTACACAGCTCTTAGAACTGAGAGGATTCTTATTTTATACTAACCAAGTGACCAAAAACTGATATGTAATTCAGAATGCCAGTTTATTAACTTATAATAGGGGAGGAGAGGGTTAAATCATCTTCTAATATTCCAAGGTCAGAGTTGTGGGGTTAAGCCATTTGGGGTTGCTGGTACAAATTCGTCATGGAATGGTTGCTTGGTAACCAAATGTAATTGGATAGTCTTGAGATGTGGAAAAGCCTAAAGAACTATCCTTGGTCCTCAAAAGAATGTAACTGTCTGCAACTTTAATACTTAAATCTTACGGATTCAGGGCCTCACTTCCTTGGAAAGTACTGATAAATGCCAGCTGATTCTTGTTTTTGGATTATCTTTTAGAAAGTTTTGCTGCAGACCCTTCATTAATAATTAAAAAAACCTGGGTGAATACAACTTAATATTATCTGTTGTGTTAAATAGACCAATCAAGTAGAAAGCTATTTGAACGACAAGTAGCCGACTAACTTTTCACAATTTGGTATAGTCCTTGATTATTTATATTAATGGGAGATAGGGTTAGGATGAATAAGTCCCGGGATTTTATTTTGTAATTCTCTAAATCCTGTCCCGTTATTTTTTTGTGAGCTGCTAAACATCATTGATAGTAAGTATGGTATAATGGAAACAGCATAGAAGTGGAGTCTGATCTTGTTTTGTGATCTCTAGCCTTGTGATCTAACCTTCTTCTAGCCAATTTAAAGATTTCCTTCACTCTTTTTTTTTTTTTTTTTTTTTTTTTTTTTTTTTAAGAGATGGAGTCTGGCCATGTTGCTAACTGCCAGCTCCACCTCCCCAGTTCACGCCATACTCCTGTCTTAGCCTCCTGAGTAGCTGGGACTACAGGCACCCGCCACCATGCCCGACTAATTTTTTGTTTTTTTTTTTTTTTTTTTAGTAGAGATGGGGTTTCACTGTGTAGGCCAGGATAGTCTCCATCTCCTCACCTCGTGATCCACCTGCCTTGGACTTCCAAAGTGCTGGGATTACAGGCGTGAGCCACTGCGCCTGGCCTGATTTCCTTCACTCTTATTTCCATGCTATTTAAAACATACCTTCTTTTTAGTGCACCATATGAAAGTTATTTGTTAACCTGTGTGTGTTCATAGGCCTTAAGGGTAGGAAGTGTGTTTGTTACCTACACTGAGAACATCTTGATTCATACTGAGAACTCTGTTGTTATAGTTAATTGAACCCTATCCATCATGCATGTTTTTATTCATTGTTCTCTCATAGGGTAAACTGCCTAATCATGCCTTAATGTATGCTTCTGAATTTAGCAGCAGTGGAAAGAATGAAATGTAAAATAACTATAAACATTTACTGAGCTTTCAGTGTGATAGTAGAAAGCTGGAAAAAAAATTACTCAACTAATGTGCCACACTTATACTAGGTGCTGAGAATACAGTGAAAAAGATAAATGTGATACCTTCGTGGGTTTCACCGTCTAACAGTGATGGGAGAAAAGCCAAGATATCTTTTTAATATGCTTAAGTCTTAAAAAATGACCGAAGTATAGCATACAAAAAAATTAATGCTAAATTTAAAAATACATTAACACAAATACAATTTTTTGAAAACAAAAAAAGAACAAATAAGCAAAAAAAAATTAAAATAAAAATATTAACATCATATCACAGTACTGTTATATAATTAAAAATTATATATGTAAAAGTATAATTCAGAATTATAAAAGACATAAATTTTAAAAATCTTAACTTGGATCATGAAAAATGGTACGAACTTTTCCATAAGTGTTTATTGAACTACAATGTTTAAGGCATTTTGTTGGGTGCTGAGCACAAGAGGAAAAGTACTAACAAACAGAAGTATAAGACTTCTTTAAAGTAAGAGCAAGTAAGTAGCCCAATGTGATTGGAGAATAAGGTACACAGATGGAGTGATAGGCCATAAATCTATTTGGAAATTACTTGACTGCTTTACTAAGAACTTTAGATACTATTCTGTAGAAAATTGAAAGGTTTTAATGGTTTTTGAGTAGAGGAGTCACATCATATCTGTGTTTTTGAAAGAAATAAAAATATAGACATTATAATAAAATTATGAAATTATGGAATATTTCCAGAGTCGTACTTATTATTCTTAATGTCTATATTAACAAAAAATGTCTAGTTTGACTAGGAAGGAAGATTTATAATGAATAATATTAATATTGAATAATCTAGAGAAAGAAAATACTAATCAACCAAAGTAAAACAGGAAAAGAAATACCAAAAATAAAACGAAAGCATCCATTACATATTTATTTAACAAATATTTGTTGACTGCTTACCTACCATGTGTCAGACACTAGCTATGCCTACATAATGGTGAGTAAAAACATTCAATCTTTTTTTTTTTTTTTTTTCTGAGACAGAGTCTGGCCCTGTTGCCCAGGTTCGAGTGCAGTGGCATGAACACAGCTCCACTGCAGCCTCAACCTCCTGGGCTCAAGTGATTCTCCCACCTTAGCCTCCTGAGTAACTGGGACCACAGGCATGCACCAACAGGCTTGGATAATTTTTAAATTTTTTGTAGAGACAAGGTCTTGCCATGTTGTCCAGGCTGGTCTCGAATTCCTGAGCTCAAGCAACGCTTCCACCTTGGCCTCCCAAAGTGCTGGGATTATAGGTGTGAGATACTTTGCCCAACCATTTTTATTTTCATGGAATTTATGACAAAGTGGGTGAGAATAATAAAAAGAATCCTTCTAATAAGTGCAAATTACTTTGAGGCAAATACTGAGAAGAAGGCTATTTATAAGCTACTACACTTATAATAAGGGAAATAAATGAGCCCAGTTGCTGGGCATGGTGGCTTATACCTATAATCCTAGCACTTTGGGAGGCCAAAGTAGGAGGATCGTTTGAGGCCAGGAGTTTGACACTAGCCTGGGCAACACAGGGAGACTCTCTCTCTACAGAAAATAAAAATTAACTGGCCATGATGGCATCTGCTTGTGGTCCCAGCTACTCAGGAGGCTGAGGTGAGAGGATTGCTTAAGCCTGGAGGTCAAGATGACAGAGACCCTGCCTCTAAAAGAAAAAAGGCTGGGCATGGTGGCTCATGCCTGTAATCCTAGCAGGGAGGTCGAGGCAGGCAGATTGCATGAGCTCAGGAGTTCAAGACTAGCCTGGGCAACATGGTGAAACCCCTTATCTGCTAAAAATACAAAAATTAGCTGGGTGTGGTGGCATGCGCCTGTAGTCCCACCTACTCAGGCGGCTGAGGCAGGAGAGTCGCTTGAGCATGGGAGGCAGAGGTTGCAGTGAGCTGAGATCATGCATTGCACTCCAGCCTGGGCAATAAGAGCGAGACTCCATCTCAGAAAAAAAAAAAAAAAAAAAAGAACCTATTTAAGAAGGTCTCAGATAAGCTTTTGCTAAGGAATTGATTCTTAAAATGAGATCTGAAGCATGAGTAGCAGTTAATTATGTCAAGAACAAATATACTAATTCTACACAAACTTTTTCAGAAAATAGAGAAGGAAATGTACTTCTCAGCTTATTCTATGAGACTAGTATTACCCTGAAACCTAAGCCAGACAAAGGCATCATAAGAACATTCATTATGAATGTATGTGTGAAAATCTTTAATAAGATATTAACAAAACCAACAACACATAAAATGGCTTATCTACTGTGACCATGTGGGAGTTATCCCAGGAATGCATTAATTTGAAAACAAAGTAATGTAATATACCGTATTAATAGGATAAAGGACAATCACATATGATCTTCTCAGTAAATACAGAAAGAGCATTTAACAAAATTCAGTGCTGGCCGGGTGCGATGGCTCACGCCTATAATCCCAACACTTTGGGAAGCCGAGGCGGGTGGATCACGAGGTCAGGAGATCGAGACCATCCTGGCTAACATGGTGAAACCCCATCTCTACTAAAAATACAAAAAATTAGCCGGGTTTGTCGGTGGGGTTGCCTTTAGTTCCAGGCTTACTCGGGTGACTTGAGGCAACCGAGAATGGGTGTTGAAACCCAGGAGGCGACTTTGCAGTTGAGCCGCGAGATTGGTGCACTGCACTCCAGCCCTGCGTTGTGGTGACCAGAGGCGAGGGACTCCCATCTCAAAAAAAAAAAAAAATTCAATG